ACAATAACATAATAACCATAACCGAATCTCAATACAATAAAGGGCCGGCCTTGGTGCCTTAGACCCTGTTGATATAGTGAGGATAACTCACCTCGAAACTGTCGGCTGAAAGGATAAGATCCCGCTGCTCCGAACTCTGACACAAACTCCTCCACTGAACATCAAAACATACAACTCAATAAATACCCTTAATTACCAAAACACCCCTGGAAGACAACTGGTCAACCACGGACAAGTCAAAGTCAACCCCTGACTGACCCTACTCGCCGAGTCAAAGATGAAAATGGTGCTTTAGGAGTTATAAATATCAATGATGATATTAATGATACTCTTTCAGCTGCAAAGACTCTTCTATGCATAATAAATCTTTGAGGATGCAGTCTGGAATTTGATCCATCCTATCCTCCAACTAATAAATGGAAAAGAGATCATCCAAAAGATTTTTTTTGGTAAACCCTAACTCTGGTGTGTTGACAAGAGCATAAATTAGAGCTATAAATGAAGTTCTTAATTTCCATCAAGAGTTTTATATGTTCGATGTGTTTGTTTCTAAGATCGAACAAAAGACAGTTACGGTTGCATTGGAATGTCCTGATTGGGTTTTTGCTATGTATGTTGAACCTGATGAGTTTGATAGAAACAAGGTATGGAAGTTAATTCCTAAACCTAAGAATGTTTCTTTGGTTGGATTAAAATGAGTTTTAAAAAAGTTTATAAAGAAGGGGATGTTGTTCACAACAAAGCAAGACTTGTTGTTAAGGTTTATAATTAACAAGAAGGTATTGATTATGATGAAACTTTTTCTCCTATCACAAGACACAAAGTTGTATGAATTTTTCTTGCTCATGCAACTCACAAGAACTTTGATGTTTACCAAATGGACGTCAAACGTGCATTTCTCAACGGTGTACTTGAAGAGAATGCATATGTCGAACAACCACCTGGATTTGTAAACTATAAGTTTCATAATCATTGTTATATTCTCGATAAGGTTGTTTATGGTTTAAAACAAACACCAAGGATTGGTATGCAACGTTAACAAATTATTTGAAAATCTCTAAATTTAAGAAAGAATCATTTGATCCTACATTATTTCTAAATAAAGTGGGAGATCATCTTATGCTTATTCAAATTTATGTAAATGATATTAATTTTGGTTCTATTGATCCTGCTTTATCAAAGGAATTTGAGGATTTGATGTGCATTCAGTTTGAGATGAGCATGATAGGAAAAATCAACTATTTCTTCGAATTGAATAATCGAAAAAGAAAAGAAGGCATCTTTATCAATCTACAGTCTTAAAAAAAGAATTTTCTTGAAATATATGGCATGACAATTTGCTCAGATGCAAAATTACGAATGGCATGTGGCATGCGATTGAGTCCATCTTTGGAAAAAACCATTGTAAAGACATATCGAAGCATGATAGGTTCTTCTTTATATTTGACTGTAAGTCATCCTAATATCATATTCTACTTGTGTAATTGTGCCAAGTATGAATCCGACCCAAAGGAACCACATCTGACTGTTGTGAAGAATATCTTCTGATATCTTCATCGAATTCCTACACTTGGAATTTGGTATCCAGCGAATACAATATTTTCATTAAATCCTACTCAAATGCTGATTTGAGTGGTTGTCAAGTCGATACAAAAAGTATAACTAATGGTTATCAATTTCTAAATGGAAAACTAGTAAGTTGGCAGTAAAAGAAGCAAATAAGTGTTTAGATATCCTCAGCTGGGGAAGAGTATGTTTCTACTGTTGCATGTACTTCTCAAGCGATATGGATACAAAGTCAATTATGTGACTATGTGATAAAGAAGAAGAAAATACCTTTATTTTGTGATTCTAAAATTGTCATTCGCATATGTCATAACCGAGTTCAACATTCATAGACCAAACATATTGCTCTTTGATACCATTTTATCAAGGATCACATCGAAGACGACAATATCGAAGTTCACTTTCTCAATACCACAAATCAATTGGCAGATATTTTCTCCAAGGCTCTAGATGAAAAATCATTTTTAAGGATCCTCAATGGATTGGGGATGATGAAATCATTTTATGTTCCAAAATCAAACTAATTATCATGACGTCGATATCAAAGTCACTGGTCATTGATGCAGACTTCAATACTCATGCAACGTCGATGTTGATACTGTATCGTTAGCGGTTACTGTTGATGTTATGAGCTTCGAGGGTCTTCGAATTTTACATTTGCGCTTAATCATTCAGAAGGTTCTAGATTACTATCAAAGTATTGGTAAAACTTTTCGACTCTGAAATTTTCTTTATTTTTGTATTTTATTGAAAAATCAAAAATTACAAAAACATTTTCTTTATATCTGTATTTACAAGAAAAAAAATCAAAAACATCAAAAAGATTTAATTTATTTTTTATATTTTGTTCAAAAATCAGAATTTCAAAAATATTTTTTTTGAGGAATACCTTGTATTCCAGTCTGTAACGATTGAATTGACGGATATCTTAGCAATGATTTTAGATTAACCATTCACATTTTGAGTCTTAACCAACATGGAATTATGTTTATTTGAAAATTGTCTTTATGAGCAAATTTTTTGTCACCATAAATTTATGAAAGACTCGTTGTCCATCTTCTTACTTCATATTTCTTACATTATGCACACACTTATATGCATACCCATTAGATCTCTAGGAGAACCAACTAGAATCGTGGTGTGCGTAAACTCCGTGTTTGTGATCTTGAGGTCATTATGATGATTTCAATGAAACCCATAAAAGAATACGATAAAGAAATTGATGATGAACAATTTGTTGTTCTAGATATTACAAAGGAATTGACTGTAGAATTTTTTTATGTTTCACTGTACCATTTGCATGATTGTCAACATCTCGTTTTCAGTATTTTGTGTGATCTTAATGAAATTGACCATTACCAAGTCATTTCTACCCAAAAAGATCCAAGTTTAATTTTCATGAATATAGATTTAAGTCTGAACATTTTTCACAACTTTTGTAACTTTAAAATTTTACTAATGTTTACTAGTAGTTGATTATACCAATCACTCAAGGGTTTTCATTCATATCACTACTCTTGTGTTAAGTTTCATATATGATTAAAAACATAGCCTACCTCCAATACTGATCAAAAGAGGCCCTTCGATACTTCTCTATAAGTATTCGATTGTAATACGGGAAACCACACAAGCACTTCAATATCTCTCTTATTTTCGAAGAAAGAGAATCTTTTCCCGAGATCATACTATTTTTATATCAAAGTATCTTTGGTATTATGATTTTTCCAAAATTTCTGTTAAACTTGATTCTCTTTTTATTTGAAAACATAATTACACTAGAATCCTTGAGGATTCAAGTAATACCAACTTGTACCAATATTCTGCAAAGTCTGGTTAATGATTCCATTTAATGTACCCATAAGTGGATGAAACCCAACCGAAGTTGTGTTTATTATTAAAGTATGGTTCGATGTTTGACACCAAATGATGTGACCGTTGTGTAGATGGTGTCAGCATACTCTTGCTTTCTCTTCGTTTGATGGTGTCAGCCTACAAGTGGTAGCTCATGATGTTCTCACTTCAGTTAATTACTTTCCATGTGGCGGTTTATTATTGGCTAACGATTTAAATTCAAATTCCAGTCCATAAAAGGGGTTTGACGATTCCAATTTCACTTTTCTGATCTGATGGTTTCTCCTAAGAAACTAAACCCTAATTTCTACAAAATTCTCTTTGCTCGTTTGCAATCATGTCTCATGTCGATCAATTCAACACAACCGATGAAGAAACTTTTGTTCCATAGATGAAAGGTCAATCCAATAATGTCTACTTCAATACAGAAATCTATAGATATCCTAAAGGGGTTTGGATGCTTGTTTAATGTATGAATTCATCTATTTTTCATCATGCTTTATCACCTTCTTTTTTCATTCCAGTGATGTAGTTGTCACTGACTTGTTCCACAGAGATCTTCAACAAAGCTCAAGAAGTTATTATGTTTCAGATGGAAACGTAAGGGAAGATAAACTTATCAAAGAAGAAGTTTACGCATATTCTTTAATTGAAAGCCGATAGTCCATTTGAAGTTCCCGCTTCTGATCTGGTACTCGCCTTGCTAAATGAGATGGGGTATACTACTTCTCTTTTACTTATTAGTGATTTCAATAAATCCAAATTGCCATCTCTTTGGAGTGATTATTTGCTGCTTGACTAGGTGGAATTATGGTCTCGACAAGGTGAAGTTATAGTTGTACTTTATATTGGTTGGTTTGTATTACAACGTGAAGGTTTATTATGCTTCATTGTTGTGGAATGGGTTTACTACCTACATCAACCATTCATAGAAGTCAACCGATATCATGAGTGCCCATTTTTTGAACTTAATTCTTATCAAAGCTTATCAACAAGTTGGTATTAAAGTTACAAAATATGCATAAAGGGCTGAGTTTTCTCATTTACGGATTCCTAAAAGCTTGGTTGACAATCATACTAATTTTACTTCTATTGGGAGGATACCTACAACAATGTTATATCTAGTCCTAGATTCGAATCTTGTACTGATTTGCTATCGTGAATAGCTGGTCGAAGTTACTTGTGTTCCTACACCCAAGAAAACAAAGTCAAAGTCGAAGGGAGGGGTGGTTATCCAAGAACCATTTGGTGATGAACAAACACAAAAGAAAAGGAAAGATGTTGCAGTTTTGAAGACTGGTGGCTGTAAAAATTTGGAAAAACATTTACCTTGAAGGTTGAATTGAATGATATTTGACAAAGATGATGTTGCTCATGGTTAAAGATAGGATGATGAAGACACAGATACATAAGATATGGATATGTCAAAAGGTCAATCTTCAAAATATACTAGAGAGGTGAATGATGATGATGTTGATCATTTGATCAATGATGCTTTTCACCATGATTCTCCACGTGTTTCACCATGAAAGATTAGCATTGTTGAATCTAATGTAAAGGAGACAACAAATCCCGATAATTCTATGAGCACATCTAATGTGGACACAAATATCAATAATGTTGAAACACCTTTAATATTAGTACCTGAGTCGACGACTACTGTTCCACTAGAGGTTCATACTATCGAATCCAATATAGAGGAGAACAGAACTCTCAACATCCCGGGGCACACATCTAATATGTACGCAAATGTTAACATGTGTGATAAATCTACAACTGATACATCAATAGTTCTTCCACCACCAAATTCACCACTTAGAACATCCTTTATTCCACTCACATACATTCCATTAGATTATCCAACTTATAATGGAATACTTAATCAACCTATTGCTACACTGTTTTCATATCAATCTACTGATCATTATCTTGATCAAGGTAAGGATGCTTCTCAGAATATGGAGGATGATGATGAGGAAGGTTTTGGTTTTAGAGAGCTTACAATTGATCCAGGATGAGGAGGATATTGAATATGATGCTCTGATGTCAGGAAAACAATACAAAAATCATGAAATTCCAAAAGGAATATGATTTTACAGTTCCAAAATGATTCCACTATCAACAACACTTCAACTTTTAGCAAAGAATATGTGGCTTCGCTATTGGGATCTCAGGAGTCTAAAATTAAGGGAATGGTAAAGCAAGTTGTTACTGATGTTCATGATAGACTTAATCACAACTTGAAGTCATTCAATTTTAATGTTTTATAAGTAGAGATAGTTGCTAGGGAGAGGTATGAGCTCATTGAGAAGAGTGTCAAATTTCAAGTAGTCAATTGAACTGAAATTTCAAAAGGTGCATGGTCTTATCACATATGAAGTGAAGAAAATTGATGGTCAATTTTTTGGGTGTGCAAAAGAATGTTGACCATTTGTTATCAGCTACAAGAACTCTAGTCGAGGATATTCAATCTTTCAATGTCGAATATAAAACAGAGTTGGCTAAGAAGAACGAAACTGATGGTGCATTGTTCAAGGGTATTAAGACTTCTCATAATACTTTTCAAGAACAAATCTTGAAGATTACAGCCAAATCGACATCTTTGATGTCTGCTGAGCATGTTACCAAGGTCATGTCTTCGATAAAAGTTTAATTTAAATCCCAACTTGCACAAATTCTTGATCTGGTACTTTGAGTTCCAACAAATGCTCCAAATGGTGTGAATGTGTCACAATGGGGAGAAAGGGTTGGTCTGTCTAAGGTGGGAGGTGAAGACAAAGGCAAAGTGGCATGGATGGTTTTCTGTCTGCAAGTTCATATTCCAATTCCAACTAAACGAGTTCACACAATGGTAACAAAAGTGTCTACTACTCATGTTGAAATTGATGTGTTGAAGCTACAAGCAAAGAAGCACTTAAACATCAATGAATGTGGATCTTTGATAGTTAAGGCTACTACTACTTTTGCAAGAAAAGATAAAGAAAATGGGCTTGAGCCATTAGATGAGGAAAATAAGAGGAAGAAGGAATTAGGGATTAAGAAGCTAAAACAACTCAATAGCGCAACAATCATAAAATTCGAGTTAATTTTAAACTTTTTAACTCATATAAAACCATTCAATTATTACAATTTGTTTTCAAAATAGTTTAAACATTAGAGTTTCTAGAAATCGTAATCATCAATCGAGGAAGTGTACAGTCATGCCTTCGCCTTCCTGCGGTCATCCGTTGAACATGAAACAATAATCGATTAATGTAAGCTCGAAGGATTAGTGAGTTACCCCCAAAATACAAACCTCATATAACCATAATCATATCATATCAACAAATACAGAGCAACCAGGCATCTCGATTCTGCAGTGTGGTTGGTACGCCCGTACCAGGCCTTCAGTCCACCTGGTCTACTCCCTGAGTCTACAGTATGACTGGACCGCCCGCACTGGGTCTTCAGTCATTCTGGTCCGCTGTCCAAGCCTCGGCACATCTAGATCGCCCTCTCGGACCTTCATCCGATCCGGACTGCTCGCTGGGCCTTCAGCCTGACTATGTGCCCTTTCGTGTCTGCAGTCTATCCAGTCTGCCCTGGGTATGTTGGTCTACAGCACAAAGCAGGACCCGCCTCAACCCAACCCCAAACAAACAACCATGTGCACATATAACAGATAATCACATAATAGTCCATAGAGAAACAAACCGATCTAACATTTCATATAACATAGCAACCCCCTAACCAGGATACTAACCTATTCGGTCACTAATATACCATCCTAACTACCAGGATGCAGATCTAACAGATCGATGAGCATATCAAACAAAACCAGTATACAATCCGAGAAAGGGTCGGCCTTGGTGCCTTAGACCCTGTTGATATAGTAAGGATAACTCACCTCGAAATGCCGATCTTTACTGAAGAAGCGAATTCCTGAACCACCGTCTCACCGACAATCCCAAACTATCCAAAATAGTGAATAACGAGTCAATAAACGGAAATATAAATTTTGACCAAGAATCCCTTATAACAATAGCCCAATTTGCCTTCCCTCTAATTTGGGTCATGGCCCAAAACCCAACCCATGATCCATAAGTCCATATAACAAGGCCCATCATTGGCCTAACTTTCAAAATTGGGACCATTAACTAATTGGGCCTAAATCCAAGATCCATTACCAAGACTTGGCCCAAAACACCATATCCATAATGACCAGCCAAGGCCCAAGTCCATCTAGCGTATAAATAGTCCAAAACTCAAAGCCCAAAGTCAAAAGCTCAATAGAGTACGTATGCTGGGCGTACTCCTTTGGTACGCGGGGTGTACCCTGACTCATGTTGATTGATAAACGGGGTCGTTGACCCTGTACTCTAGGCGTACAACTTCCTATGCGGGGGGTACACGAACTGAACAAAAATCCTCATGAGTGCTAAATGGCTTAAGAACTTAATCCCAAACTTCAGATCCATCGACCAAATATGCCTAGGACTCATAAAGTCTCAAACTTTATCACTTTCAACGTCCATAATGTTCTTAATCCAAGGTCTTAATCCATTAAGACCTTTCTACTACTCGCATGGGACCTCATAAGAAATTGGGACCTCATTTTTAACACTCAACACCCATCCAAGAGTCTAGAAGGACATATTATTTTGTCCAAAACACAACATACACCATCTTGGAACTTTTAGGACAAGAAATGATTCCAAAATGCTAGAATGGCTAGATTTATGTTATACAACCATAAAGATTCAAGTTTTTTTTACCGTCTGAAGCCTCTAGGGTGCAACACAACTTCATATCTACAAGCTAAACTTCTTCTCCAACTCCTTGATGCAATGACTCCACCCTCAAGAGCTCAAAATACACACTAACTCACACTCTCACACAAGGACTAGGGTTTGGGGACTTTTCTGGAAGATGGAGGCTAAGAGTGATGAGAGAAAATGAGCCATAAGGATGTTTATATAGCCCCTAACAAGAGATATTAGGGTTTCCTTCATTTATGAGTACACCCAGCATACCCTTATGTATGCGCGGCGTACTCCTCCTGATCCCAAAATTACAAATTAGCCCTTAGGCTCTTCATGGCTTTACCCTTTCATCCCAGGGACTTTAATGACAAAACTTCGGATGTTACAAATAGTTTCTTGAAGCAAAGGGAGAGTGATCCTCCAGGATGAACAAAGGCAAAGTGAACAAGTCACAAAAATAAGAAACAATCGAATCAGTAACATTTGGAGAAGTGGATGCATTTTAGAAAATTCTGAAGGAGGGTTATGCTATTGAAATTTCACCACATCAACAGTTGTATTTTCCTTTTAATCTAGCAATGTTCACTTTTTCACTTTTCAATCTTTCTAATAATTTTCATGAAGATGAGAACTTCAAGTATATCAAGATGAGGTTTCAAGAAGCGCTTAGGAAGAAAGAGGAGGATATTTTGTCATTAAATAATATTATGAATTCGGTGTCCATGTTGAAGGATGATGTGCTTTATAATCTCTTTTATAATTATCGATACAAGGTCAATAAAGCATATCATAGTGTATGTGAGTTCACTATCGCTGATTTCCCTTTAACAATTCTAACAGATCTTATCACTTTGGCATATATCATCTAAACTTTAGAAGATAAGCAATTGAAGGATAAGAGAGCTTATGTGTTGGGGTATGCTAATATGATGAAATTTATTGATTATTATCTAGCTCATGTTGGTTAACCAATTGTGGATTTAATATTTATCTTTTGATTAACCATTAATTAAATTTGATATTAAAATCCATAAAGGATGATTCCATTTACTTATCTTATAATTAAACATTAGGTTTCCTTATTTAATTCCTCAAAAGTTGAATTAGGGTTTTAAATTTATCTTGCATTATAGAATTTGGATTTTAACAATTAAAATAACAGATAATGACTAAAATTAAACCTACTAATCGAACCAGGTAGCCAAAATAGAAAATAAAACAATTTTTGAAAAACCGTTGTGCGGCCTGCAATTTTTTTTGTTTTGTCAGTTTCAACATTTATGCACATATAATTGTAAGATCTGGTTCTAATACTAATGATGAGTTTTATATACATAAATAATGTATGTGTAGAAAAACCAGTTAACACTTAAGGATACATGCAACCTATTGGATCTATGTCTTTGAACAACTGATAGCAGCATACGTTTAAAACTATGAGAACCCCTAGCTATAATTGAAGTTCAGTAGTCCATATTACATGCCTTTAATATTTCACTAGTAAACAATATCCTTGAAACCCTTCTTGATCTTCAGAAAGCTAGAACCAAAATTATGATTGCCTCTAATGGCTCGTGTCCAAACCCTAGAAACTAGAAGAGAACTTTTAAAGAGATAGGAGATAGGAGATTTTCTGCTAAATGTTTCTAAGACAAGTGATAGATCAAAAATCATACCCTAAGGGTCTATTTCTACTTGTTAGGTAACTAAGATAAACTCTGGTTTTAATTCAAAATAATATTAATTTAATCCAAATCAAGTGGTTATCTTTATCAGTACCTAAATACTTCCAGAAGCTCCTTATGGAGCCTCCAAAACCGTCCAACAAAGGAAGGATCTAAAATCATTCCTTTAATCGACTATTTAGCAATTACAGATCAACCCTTTCACCTCCAATTAAATCCGACTGGCCCAAAATTAATTGTAAATTAATTTAATTGATTTATAATTAATTTAGTAATCATAATTAATTAATAAATCACTTCCTCTTTCTCCAAATTCTCCATTGCACTCCCTAGTGATCCATACCCCCCTTATAGAAGAAGATTCATCCCTTTTTCACTCGATCCATTCCTTTTTCAGATGACAAATTCCCTTCTCAGATGATCTGTTCCTTTGTTACATGCTCCATGAGCCCCAAGTGTTCCATTAAGTTCAAATGCTCCATGAGAATGCTCCAATTGCACAAGTAACATTTAACAGTTATTGACAACGTACCCAATTTAAAGAAAACCCCACGAGAAATTGGTGTGAAGGAAGAGGAATTAAAAAAAGTT